TTTTAAGTGGGAGAACTTGCACAATTGGTGGCTAACTAAATACCTTTTTGCCCCACTGTATGTCTGGGTGCATCTATATATCTATCTAGACTGAGTGAATATTACAAAGTTCCCTTATAAGTATGCAAAGTTAGAATAGTTTTGTATATATTTCCAGTTGTACCACAATTTCACTTAGAACAAAATTCTGATTTTCTCATATGTATTTGTATTCCATGAATATTTTTATCTTTGTACAACAATGGCAACTTCACTGGAAGTATATAAGATTGTTTCTAAGTCTTGGAGCATTCAAATAAAATCTGTGTTGCTTGGGTTGCTTCTACCAGCCAAATCTTTCTGTTGAATTTTAAGTCTTTTACAGATAGAATGAATATTTCTATTCATGAAAGGCAAAATCTAATCTACCTAAGTATCTCTGAACCAATTTATTTACTTAATTCTATTTATAAGCTACCTGGCTGCGAACAACTCAAGGCAACATAGAAAAGCTTAAAACAACTCATTAAAAGAACAAACAAAAAGAAACCTTAATAGCAATCACTGCATCAAGAAAATATTTAAAAAATTAAAATATCACATCCCTCACATGGGTTCACAGATTCTCCTCATCCCTGCTGGAAAGGCCAAGTTTTTAAAGTTTTCCTAAAAGCACAGCTGGGACTGTACCGATGTCAGGGAGAATACAGTTCCAAAGATGATATAATCTGGTAGCAAGTTTCTTTTACAGAAATCAGCCCTTCTTCCTAAGACAAAAGTTGAGATTAAAAGTTCTCTATTGCTCTGTTCAGAAGATGCAAGCCATATTCTTTTATTGTTGCTCTGACAGGCTAGCCTAGACCCTCTTACAGAAGTCATACAGAATGATTGTCGCGCAAGGATAAACAAAATAGCTACCTACACTTGTGACTGTTAGCCTTTTTGGGCAGCCCATTCTGATTAAGAACTAGTACCTGAGCTTTTCTTTCCACTCCATTTACTTCTCTTTCTGTTATATCTTTTTTAGACTGTTCAAAATAAAATCAGACATTCCCTATTTTATGTCTGTTTGGAGACCCTTTCAGTCCTGGGGTGCAGCTACTTTTTTATATTCACCGTGTCTGTGGAAGGGTGGGTTTTAAAAAGAGTGTAGGCAACTGGAAATTTCCCCTTTATTTCTAAAGCACCTCAGTGCCCAGATGGGGGAGAGATTGTTTAAAAAGCCCTGTGTTTGGAACAGGTGGTGGGTGTGGGTGGGGGTGTAGAGGAGGGGCAGAAGGAAGCAAGGGAGAGAGCAGCAGTCAAGGTTTGTGGAAAGGCCAGGAGCATTGTCCTTATAAATCCTTACCTATTCCCATTGGTACCTGGGAATAGTAATAGATATTCTAGGGATAGCAGTAGTGTTTAATAGAGTAGTATAATAGTTAAGTTGAGCAACAGAAATATAGGTTAGGTGAAAACTGTATTAGTGGGACACCTGGGTAGGAAAAAGAACACTTCTGTACTGTGAATATTGGTTTTATAAGTAAAGGAACCCCAATATAAAAAGGGAAGAGAAAAGACTATGTGTCTCATTGGGAATATCTTGATGAGTCTGGGTAATCCACCCTTGGATATTAAATGAACCTGTGACAGTGTCATTTCAAATTTTAAACTGAAATCTAATGCATATGTAGAAGAGTACAATTCCCTTTATTTTTGGTAGGGCAGTTCTATAGTGAAATGTCTAATGGGAGAGGGTTGCTGGGAAGAGGAAGTGTTTTCATCCACATTGCTGTGTTTGTTTTTTGTGCAAAAACAGGAGACAAAATAAGACAGTAAATAGAAGCATGGGTGAGAATCTGAACCTGCCTCTGAAAGAAGGTTGTCTAGTCAAGGAAATCTTTCTATGTTCTAGCATTCACAAAAATCCGATTCTCAAAGACAGAGAACCCTGGGTTCAGTGTAATTTATTTCAAGTAAAAGTCATTATAAAATATAAATACATTCCTTGTCATTTATACACAGATGCCTCTTTTCTTAACACAGACAATTGCTCTGACTTGCCTTTCCCAAGTATGTATGCTAGTCCTGATTATCTAAATGGAAATGGAATTTGGGAATTATCTTTTTTTCCTCAAGGATTTGGAAAAAATATTGTTGCTACTCAGAAGCAGAGCCACTACAGCAGTAAAGTCCTAGATTCTCCCATCTACAATGCAATGTTGACAAAATCTGTTGTCTGGAAGATAAGAAGCAGGCTTCATTAGAATCAGATATTCATCCTACTGAATTAGGCTTGTTACAAAATTGCCTTCACAGCAGTGTTGCAATGAGGTGGCTCAAGAGGAGAGAATATGTGTACCTTTTACATCGGAGCTGTTCCTGGGTCTGTTATGGGGGAAAAAAACCCCACCTATTAGTATTACCAAAGATTAAATAATTCCTTAATTAAAGGAAGTAATTTCAACTGGGCCCAATGAGTGCAGTTTTAGAAAATAAGAGGTGCTAGGTTTATTTGAAAAAGCCCCAAATATCTTACAAAATTGAAAATGCAATGGAATAAAGAAAAATCTTAGCATTTACACAGAAATTACGCTAAATTATATTTTCTCATATTGAGAAATGTTGTTTTATCAGACTCTCTTTAGGGGACTTCAGATGTAACAGAGTAAATCTGAATGTGGACATTCCCACAAAATAATGGACTATGTCTGATGTATCCAAAGTAGTCTGGATAATTCACTTACATTATGTCCATCAGTTTCCACCATTGTCATTTGTGTACTGATGCAACACTGCAAATGATGCAATTTATGTCAAGACCTGGTTATTCCATCAAGCGCAGGAGGGTATGTTGTGTCTGAAGATTTTAATTTGGCAGACGTTGTTTGTGTTCATTTTTTGTACAATGTTGACACAATATTTACTATTTTTGAAGGGTTTTTGTGGGGGCTTGCTGGTTACTTATACTTGCCGAATGTTACTTATGTAGGTGAGAATGAGCTGCATACAAATAAAGCAAATAAATATATTAACACTTCTCCTAAACAGTTGACTGCGAGCAAGTAGTTGAAAGCCAGCATATGCTCAGTTTTCCAATTTCTCACCACTGTCTATTCAAGTATGGAAGCTATAATCACTCAGCTTTTAAAAATTGGCTTCTTGGTTGTGTTAGTGATTTGGGTTGTTGTTTCTTGTCTGCCTGTATTTTTAATTTGTATAATGTTTGTTATTGTTTTTATTCTATTTTAATTCTGTTTGCCACCCAGAGTCGCTTGTTGAGATGGGCGGCCATATAAATTGAATAAATAAATAATTAAATTTATTTACCAGTTTCTACCTGAAGCATTAATGCTTTTTACAACAGCAATATACTTTCACGCCACCCAGAGTCACTGGCAGTTGTGCCATATATCAATTTAATAAATAAATAAAAATCCTTCAAAAACAAATTAGAAAGCATGCCAGCTTAACCATTTAGCCTCAGCATGCTGTTAGCCTTGGCATGCCCACTTGACTTCCCTGTTTCCTGAGCTGCACTGGTTGCCAGTAGGCTTCTGGATGCAATTCAAAGTGCTGGTTTCACCTATAAAGCCCTACGTGGTATGGGGCCTGGTTATGTGAGGGACTGCTTATTTCCTGTGGTTTCTGTCCAGCCAGTAAGTACCAACAAAGTGGGCACTCTCCAGGTCCCTTTGATCAAACAATGTCATCTTTCGGGACCCAGGAAGCATACCTTCGCTGTTGTGGCACCTGTCCTCTGGAATGAGGTCCCCCTGAGATATGGACAGCTTCTACCGTGATGGTGTTTAGGAAGGCTTTAAACACCTGGCTGTTCTCCCAGGCCTTGGGGTAGGGTGCATTCAACCCCATTGTTAGAGGTGATCAATATTTTTTGTTTTGGTGTTGAGCAGCACCAAAATTAATGTATAGATAGACAGACAGACAGAAGATTCCAAATCATGTGGGTGCAAGCAAATAGATATACAGCAAACTTAGTTTGGAAAGCACTTTCATACCTACAGTCTAGGATGTAATGAAGATCATTTTGTTCTGATTGCATCATTTTCTGAAATAACTTCCATTAACACCTCATATTCACTGTATTTTCTTAGTGACTGTATCATTTCATCTAGCAGTTCTTCCCCCAGCATGAATCTTTCGATGTGATGTACTGACTTGCCTATTCTATGGTCAGTAACTCGATCCTGGGGAAAATTGTAAGTTCTGATTTTCTCTGATCTTCCTTTGGTCCCAATCTAATCAGAAAAAAAATCTAATCAGTAAGGTTTTTACATGTCCTAATAGCTTAGTATTTGGGAAACATTCCTCAACAAAACGTGAATGAATGAATGAACGAACGAACACACACACATACTGTATATCCCATGAAAAGAGTAAAGCATCAATATACATAGTCTTTTACAAAGTCAGTATAAACAAAAACCACACAGAAGAGGTTTTTGAGCTTCAAGTCTAGACTACTCAAGAAGGGGAAAGGAAATGTTACAGGAAAGTTACTGAATTTTTGTTACATTTACTCACAGAAGGCAATTACTGTAAGCATGCCACACAATATGCACCACACCTCTTCCATACGTCTCCCTCTAAACATGGTTTTTCTCAGCTAGAGTAACCCTTGAATAAGGTGGATGGGAGGAGAGAAAGAAGTGAAGAAATAGAGACTAAACAGTTAAAACAATTCCTACCCCAAGTTTGCCTCAAAATGGCTTGGGCTACAATTTTCACGATTAGCCAGCTTGCTGGCTGGAAATTTTGAGAGTCACAAACCAACACATGGAGGGCATCAATTTGGGAGAACACTGTTCTACGCAACTGCATATCCTTTCCTTCTACCCATGCTAACAGTATTAACATTACAGCATTCACACTGTGCATCACTTGTGTCTCAACCACTAATCCATCCAAATTACAATTCATGTCTTTTCAATATGAGCTGGTTTAGCCAACACCAGAAGATACTATGGCTTATTAACAAAGCAGTCTGCTTCTGCTTGTTATTCAGATCATGCTCACTGATGTTCTCTATGACCAGGTACAGCTAATAAATCATGGATGGCTTTATCAGTTGTTTACGACATTAGCAAAACCGGTTTCTGTGGCCAGTTCTGGTTTTTCTATGTAATGGAGGCTTGAGTGGAACAGTGTGCATCAGCATACTGCTGATTTACCTCCAATTATTACAGTAGAACATCCTCAGATCTGAACAAGAATGCAGCATATTTTACCTGAATCTTTCTGGCAGTATCTATCTTCATTGTTTGTTCTTCAAGTTTGATACTATATAGTTTAGCGTGAAGGAGCTCCATAGCTTTTTCTTTATTTTTTATTTGAGATCTTTCTTGTTGACATTCAGATACCACACCTACAACAGAGAAAATGTAGATGTTAGGCAAAAATAAAATTAATCAGAAATACATAAAGAACCAAAATGTAATTTGTATGTTGAGATTTAACAAGTACAGCAGGCTACTTTGCAATTCTTAGTCAATTGAATGTATTTAACCATTTGTTAAAACTTAAGGACAGGATGCCAGGATTTGGAAACAACTACAGATAGCCCTCAACGTATGACCACAATTGGGACCACTGCAACGGTTGTAAGTGCAAGGATTGGCTGTAAGTCACTTTTTTCAGTGTCGTTGTAACTTCAAATGGTCGTTAAATGAATGGTTGTAAGTTGAGGACTACCTGTATGCTACTGAAGCTGTAGCAGAATCAGATCAGGCATTGACTAGCATGACAAACCTTTGTTATATATTTCTATATATGTGCTATATATTCTACTGAAAACCAAGGATCTTTTCCATGGCTTTTTTAAAGAAGTTTGGATGCAGCGGAAGATATAATCTGCTACACATTGTTAGCTCTGAGAAAATGAATACAATAGTGCTGATACAATTGAAAAAAAGAGAAAGTTTGAAAGAGACGGATGAGAGAAGGCTGCAAATAAAAAGTACATATGTATGTGTATGTATACCCCTCCCCACACACACACCCCAGACTTTCTCAACCTTTTGACCCTGGAGGAACCCTTGAAATATTTTTCAGGCCTTGGGGAACCCCTGCACATTTAGGCTCAAATACAGGCCACCATCACCACCACTTTTTCCTTTCCCCAGCCTCCTTCCTCCCCTCCTCTGCCTTTGTGGGTAGCTCCTGCTGCTGCTGTTGCCCAGGCCAGCCAAGCCCCAGACCTCCTGTGCCCACCCTGAGACAGAGCCTCCCAGGATGCTGCGCCTGCAGAAAGGCAGGTGTGCACCGGCAAGGAGAGCCCTGGCACAGAGGCCCTGGTGGTGTCTTTCTCTCTCTCTTGCATGCTCACTCCTCACTCCTTGGCTTGCACTTTGCTCACCTCCCACTTGCACACACATGCACAATCCCTACCCCTGCCTTGGGTTGGCCCAGGCTCCAGCTGGCCAACCCAATGTTGGAGGGTTTTTCTTCGATTTTGTCTCTGCTTTTTTAAAATAAATCATGATCTCCCAGGGAACCTCTAGTGACTTCTCACAGAATTCTAGGGTTCTGTGGAACCCCGGCTGAGAAACCTTGATACACACACACACACACACACACACTTCTGCATAAAGATGTACTGGATTGCAGTGTTAGCAATGCACAAGCTCATGTTTATACAGTATATGTACAGTAGGTACATGAATTAGCATTCTCTAATGTTATACATTATCTCACCCTTTCCAAAACAAGAACATGTTTCACAGAAGTTTTTTCTCCAGTGTTCCCCAAATTTAACTGGAAAACTGAAAAAGCAGACAAGACTCTGGGTCACATTCTTTTAGGTCTTCCGAATCAGTGCTCAGAGCTTATCTAGGCAGGTTGGCTTCTTAGATCTTATGCTGCAGTGCTGAAATGTCCTATACCCAAGACTATTTATTTATTTATTAAATTTATATGCCACCCATCTCCCCCAGAGGGCAACTCTGAGTGGCTCACAATTAAAATCCAAAACAGTAATTTTCAATATTTTCAATAGCTTCCTGCCCTCACCCCAAATTGGAGACAATATTGACATCTAAGATCTTCTACAAAGCATGTATCTTATTACTGAGCATCATCATATGAAACATGGGAGCATATTTCAAAAAACAATTTACTCATTTGAAAGTCATGTTCTAATACCTGAGGGAATATGGACTATCCGCACGGCGCTATCAGTAGTATTCACATGCTGGCCACCAGCTCCACTAGCTCTTTTAGTTTCAATACATAAGTCTTTAGGATTAATTGTCAGAGTTATCTGGAATAGGAAAGAAAAACGGTGCTTATTCTCTAAAAACAGACTATTTACAAATTGTCCCAATTTCAACAAACTGCATAAATTATTTATAAATTATTTATACAATAAGATCTGGTGACTTTATTAATGCTACTAATCAGTCTTCATGTTCTAAATAGGTAGGAATAAAACGTGTAATTGAATGCAAGCATCTTGTTTGAAAGCAGATTACTTTAGGCCAAATACTTGTAGTAACCACATTATACCTCATTTGGTTGTGGTAATATTGCTACAGTCATTGTGCTGGTATGAATACGACCTTGCTTCTCCGTCTTTGGCACTCGCTGAACACGATGTACTCCTCCTTCAAACTTCATTTGTCCATATGCTTCACAGCCTTTTATACTGGCAGATGCATGTCTCACACCACCTTAATTTTTTTAAAATAGTAAAAGCAATCATACGGTATAAGCCTCCTGAAAAGTTATTCAAAAGTTCAGAAACACAAAAAAAGAGAATCTGTCTGCCTGTCTATTTTGTGTGTACATGAATGTATGTTGCTGAGCTATTTTCCATCCAGTTTCAGTTTATTGGAGGTCTGTATCTTACACAGGTGGGCAGGTCATGCAGATATAGGCATTCATGAAGAAAGAATAGTTCTTTCATGGAGGTTTGTCTACATGCAAATTTCTCCCATTTGCATGTGCTCTGATGCGTATGATGCCTGTATGTGGTTATTAGCCCCAGCAACCACATCTACAACATAGAATGTAAGGACTGTAATAGCCACTATGTAGAACAGACAGGCAGAAGACCAACTGGCAGCTCCTTAATCTCACAACATACAGATAGACTCAACCATAGTTTCACCTGGGAAATGGTACATATTTTAGGTCAACCAAATCTAAAATTGCTAGTGAATTCCTGGAAGCCTGGTATTCAGACAAATCAGCCATCAATAGACACATAGAGATAAACCCCATTTACATGCTATTTCAAAGATACAATCAAAAGCCTAGCAAGAAAACTAACACCCTTCCAGCAGCCAAAGCCAAGATAAGCAGGAAACAGCACTAAATAGTGGATTCCTTGGGTTTCTCTGAGCTTGATTGTTTTCTTACAGATGTTTCATTACCTGTCTAGGTAACATCTCCAGTGCTAGAAGGGAGTGGAGTTTGCTCTCTGTTTATACACAGTAGCATGCCCTGTCAGTATTGATGAGGAAGTTGTTTTTTCCTTGGTAGTTCCTTGATTAGGGTATTGTTTCCTGCTTGATTGTTTGCTGTTAATCCTGGTGTTAATCCCTGTTTATCTGGGTGTTGATTGCTGGCAAGGAGGTGTTCTGGTCTTTTTGTTTCCTTTTTATTGTCTCTGAATAGTGTGTAAATGTCATTTATCTCTATTCAGCCTGTTGATGGCTGAATGCCAAGCTTCCAGGAATTCCCTCCCATTTTTGGATTTAGCTTGGTCTAAGATACTGACAGTTTGCCAACTGAAATTATGGTTAAGTCTGTTAATGTGTTGTGAGATTGAGGAGTTTTCATCATGCCTTCTGACTGCTAGTTGCTGTTCATGGATGCGCGCTGCTAGACTTCTGCCTGTCTGTCTTACATAGTGGCTGTTGCAGTCCTTATGCTTCATGTTGTAGATGACTCGTTTTTTCTTCTTTTTTTTTTTGTTTCCTGATTTTTCTTCTTTCTGTTTTCTCTTTTTCTAGAAAAAAAAACAGGAGTCATCTACAACATACTAATAATAGTAATTATTATTATTCCCATCTGATGGATGGAGGGTTGAGAAAAATAATGACTTGCATCAAAGCAGAAATGAAATTTAAACTGAAACATCCTATTTCAGTCAGACACTTTTGTAGGTAAATGCTGGAAGAGATTTTGTAGTACTTTATCTCCTACCTGCAAAAATGAACTCTAGAAATATCAAAGACACCTCTACCACACCCAGGTCACTTTGGGAAGTGGCAGAAGTGCTACAGGGCAAGTGGGTGTATGGGAGGTTGGTGGGGGGTGAGAGATGGGCATCCAGACTGGAGAGTGGAAACTTCCAGTGAATCTGATTCATTTCTGCAAACAGAAAAGCTCTTTTGTTTGTGGAATATCAGGTCAGAAACTAATTCAGTATTACTTACTTTGCTGCACCAGTTTAGAAATGTCCTAATCAATGACAAGTCAAGCAAACTAAGAACCAAAACGAATACCACTCTAACTGTACTAAGGCAGTTTTATATATTATATTTTATAAACTGCCTTTCCATAAAAAATGTTAACGTTAGAAAAAGGCAATATGGTTAAAATATAAAAACAACTTGACAAAAAGAACAAAAAACACATTAATTGAGTAATAAAGAGCATTCATCCGATTAACATTTTTTTCAGCAAACAATTTTGCTTAGCCTTGTTAAAGCTCTTTTTCTTACTGGAATGTTAATAAAATTATCTTTCTACCTTAATATAAAATAAAATGCTCACATAGCACATAGATTAGAAACTGAACAAGTTGTGGTTGGTATTGTACTGTCACCCCAGTTTAAAGGCATTGCATTGATGCTATTACATCAGGTATATCAGCCAGGTATCAGAAATCAATAGAGTCTGGCAGAAAGACAGCTGGGTAGTTAGACCTGGCAAATCGCTAACTGGCAGGGGCTCATTCACTGATGGTAAGGAGGAATACAACTATTGTTCTCCCAAACCTTGAGGTAGGGTGCATGGAACCCTCTTGTTAGATATGTTTGTCTGGATTTGCCATTTTATTTCCTTATTGTATTTCTATTTATTGTGTTCTGTTTGCATTGTTTTTATATTGTGAGCTACCTGGAGTCGGGCAGCATTAAAGTAAATAAAATAAAAATAAAATAAAATATATGCCACTACATATGTATCACTATCATTTTAGGACACCCATTGTTAAGCTCCCTGTACTGAGACAATTGCAATGAAATAATAAGATTGTCCCAAGAAAAAGGATATTGAAGATGGGAATCTTCACTCTCTATTACATAGAGCTAGGGAATTTCTTTTCTTATCCCAAGACAATTTGCCTATAATACTGGAAGTACATGTCAGAATTTCAAAAGATTACTTGCCTATAATACTGGAAGCATATGCCAGAATTTCAAAAGTCCAATTTTTATATGCTGCATACTGTTGATACATATCAAACATCTCAGCAGTGAACAACATTGCTTCCAGCCCTCCAACTCCAGCAGTCACTTCTATGACAAGATCATTTTTGTCAGTTTCTTCTGAAGGAATCAAGAGTGATACTATCTGAAATATATAAAAAAATGCCTTTTTATCTAAGTAAATATCTGCCTGGAATGGGCTGAAATAAAATAAGTACCAATACATATATTTTAAGCATTATGTAATGTATTACACAGCATCGGACCTTCTTTTCGCTTCCAGATACATCCATAGCTGAATGTCCTTTCGGCTTT